TCACTGAATTCTCCAAGAACTGCCATGTAAAGCTGGAGTCTGCTCAAGCAGTCAGAAACCAGGAAAAGCAGGTATCAAAGTATCAGGTGGGCAAGAAAGGCCCAAACACATCCAACCTTACGCTCCTAATCTTTCCAGCTTCTCTGCAGAGCTGCCTTATTAGGCACCTTTGCAGGCAGCCTGCACCCAGACAGACAACCTCACCAACTCACTCCTGGAGAAGGCTCCTTTCTCCCTTGCCCTAGAAGGATCTGGTAATCACTTGGGCTCAGCAAGTAGGCATAAAGATGGATTTTCACATGGGTGAAGGCTCTCGGCTTGTTAATACTTCTAGCAGAGTCACAAACTCCTCTATTGGGAAAATAAAACTTCACGCAGTAGTGGAAAATTCATTACCTGTCTCCCAAGAAGTTACAATGGACATTGTATATTCACACGTCAGCTGAGCAGCTAAACGTTACCAAGCTCAGAGTGTTAAGCAGAAAATCCCTCTGCTACTCACACTTTCCCAGCGACCATTTTTTGATGGAAGCGCTAGTGACAGACATCTGCAGAGAATGATCTACCTTCATTTGGCAATAAGAATAAAAAGTCTTGAAAACTGAAGACATTCCCCTAGGTTCCTGCTGGCGTTTCCTACCCTTTTTAGCTATCATAAGCAACTAAAAATTGAGAAGCATCAGAACAGAGTCTACTTCACCTGAGAACAATACGTAACTCTAGGTCCTCACAGTAAGGTGGCTGCCTGCAGAATTTGCTGTAGCTGCTATAGGAAAACGTTTCACAGGTTCTTTGACACACTCCTCAAATAAGATCCTGTGAAGGAAGGAACACAAGTTCTTCTTCAGATCCTGTATCTTTGTTTTCTGTGCAATTTTAACTTCTTATCTTTTTTAAAAGGGTCCAGGGAAACCTTCTAGCCATCACAGGGGCTCCTCCTGATTCTGTGTTTCTGTCACCTGGCCAGGTTCCTGGCACTCTCTTCTGCAACATCAGCCCAGTTCAATAGGTCAAGCTCGTTTCAAGACACAGGAACTTGTGCTTGACTAATGTCCTTGTGTGAATTAGCCCACCTGAGGAAAAGAAAAAAAACCCAGGCTGAGCTGTATTATTGCCCGTGTTCATTAATATTTTCTGTACTGACATCTGAAGGTCACACAGGACTGATTCAGGATTGAATCTCAAATCTGGGTTGAAAAACTGAGTCACACTGGTCCAGTACTAAACCTCACAGCATCCTCTTACGCTGACTGATTTCCAAGTTCACAAATTTTTTTTTCAGAACTCTTCAATACATCAATTTTTATTTGAATTTTTATTTTATTGATATTACATTATTTTTTTTTAAAAGGAAGTTTATTCTGGTCCTTTATCACTGTGGGAACCATACCTGCCAACGGTAGAGCAAAGTCACCCAAGAATCTCTTTGCATTTCGGCAGAAATACCAAGAGGCAAAGCACTGCTCCTCCAGCAATTTAACCAATTCAGGCTTGGAAGCATGGTCCAAGCAGACCCTGCAGTGAAATCTTGAGAACTACTCAAAAATTTATTCAGCGCTATAGAGTTAAAGAGGTTTTAGACACAGTGTGTAATCTTGTCAGAGTCAATTACATCAAAGCAAAAGTGACAGGAAGTCTTCCCTGTTAACGTGCAAAAAGCTCTCGTTAGTGCTTTATTATCACCAGACTTGCACCTCCATTCTCAGTGACTTTGTCACCACAGAGCATTAACTATTAATGTTAAGTCACACTTCTTTTACGGTAGGGAGAAAGAAGGCATCTTTAACAGAGACGATTTCCAATTGCACAAACGGACACTCAGGTTCTTTGACAAGCTGGAGATCACCTCACTGCTCCAGGAGAGTACTTTGCTTTCCCAACAGCCAATGCCCCATGACAGGATTTCCTTGCCACTGGTCCACTTCCATGGAGAACACATGAAACCCACCCAGAAGCTCTTCTGGGACAGCCCGTCCTGGTACGGTTCAGGGCTGGGGTGCAGTGGCCCAGCCAGGCAGCGTAAGTCCAGAAAAGATTCAAGCGTAGAGTGCAACCACAATCATGCCTGGCCTGTTCACAGCACGGGGACATGCTTCCCTCCTCTGCCTCCAGCCTGCCAAAGCCTGTGCCCAAATCCAGGCTGGTGGCCAAATAGCTCAAACATGAGGCAAGGTTTGGTTCAAATGCAACCTCAGGCTTACAATATCATGTAGATCTGCCCTTGGGTTCCTCCCTACTGGCTGCTCAGATATCACCTTCTCTCACTCCCTGACTGCTCCAAACATCTTCTCTAGTTAAGACACCAGAGATGATGATAAAGCTGGACGAGGCCTCCAGGGATGAAATTATTAACAGATGATTCAGAGAGGATTCCAATTCTCTGATATTTATGCTCCTGCCTATTACGCTTCTATAAAAAGCCCATGGATCGCATACATACATCTCACACGTGCGCTCAACAAGGAAGAGTCAGGCCTCTCACTGCACTCTGGCCAAAATTGCTGCCATTTCACAGGCACTGGGGATGGAATTCAATATATTGTTGCTCTTTGCTCTGTCTTCGCCAAATAATCAATTACGATTTAGCGAGGAACTAACCAACACACGCAGACACACACGTATGTGTGTGTGCACCATAAAGGGAAGCCAAACAGGACTTTTCTTTCAGTTTGTTTCAGCTTATTACCCTGCCCCTCAGGACCTCTAACATATTTTTAGAAAGTATTGAATTCAAGCAAAGAACACAGGAGAAAAGCATGTCTGTGTGATTTCACCACCCCACTACTACCATGGTGGCATTTGACAGCATCTCTGCGTTTAAAGGCAGTTTTTTTGATAATCTTCTCGTTTTAAGGCTTATAAAATGATAATGTTAAATCCTCGGATGCACACATCCATCTTATTTTAGTCAGGGTACTGGTAGGGTTTTGATTTTTTTTGTTTTGAGGTGGAAAGGGAAAAAGAGACTGGTCTGGTTTTTCCTCTCTCATTTGAAGCTATATGTAGGTAGTTAATAATTTTTAACTGTGGAATCCATTCTTCAGAAAGCAGGAAATTGTTTTTCCACTGCCTCTATCGAGCAAAAAGGCTAAATATTTTCACAGAAACAGAATGGATGTGGTATCGGATTAGATCAATACAGGGCCTGCCGGTTACATGTCTGCAGAGGGAGGCAATGGAGACGGAAGAGTAAAGTTCCTATCCAAAACCAGTTTAACCTCGTGAGTTTTGAAGCAGGTCCTCAAAGGAGACATGACAGAGGCAGTTTAAAATACTGCTAGTGGAAAGAAAAGAAACAATGAAGATGAAAAATCAGGCTGGAGGAAGCGAAGCTGCGAGGATGACCCAGAGAATATATATAATCCCCCGTTACAACACCATCTACAAAGTAGGACTCCAGTTCTGCAAAGATGTGTGCTTGGGGAACAAAGCCTATGGAGACAGCTGGGCTGAACTGTCTCATTCTACCACCACCATGGACCTGGAAGTCTCTGTGCTGCTCCAGGACCCGGTGTGTCCTCCAGCACAGAGGGTTAGGTCTTCCCAGCATCTTGCCCAAGGGCAGTGAAGCGTTCATGCACGACCGTGCCTCTGGAAGCTCCTTGGCAATATTTCTGCTAGAAGGCAAGCAGATGCTACAGAACATTCATCAAGTAGTAGCAAGTCCAAGCAGAACTGGTCAGAATCAAGACATACAGAGAAGAAAGTGGAGGCACTGGGCTAGATTTCCAATTGAGGCACAAAATTGGACTTCGGGAAATTACTATGGAAGGCCTTGGGTAAATCAGATAACCTTTCCAGCTCTCTGAACATGCCTGAACGCAGTTTTTGTATCAATATGACTGTAAAGAAATCAACGGAGCTAAATTAATGATCCCATCTCACACCTGCAGACATATAGACTGCATTTTAAAGCATTTTTAGTCTGATAGCTTGTTTTGTTTCAAAACAAAAATAAACAATCTGTTTCAATCACTGATTTTGTTTGCACAGACTTGATGAAGTCAGTATCAAACCCAACAGTAGACCAAATTTTAAGCAGAATAAAACTCTCTTCCCATCATCTAAACATAGAAAATACAGCTGGACAAGACCACAAGAGTTCATCTAAAATATCCCCTCTGCCCCAAAATGGAATCAATTCTTCTCAAACCATTCCCTCACAGCTCCTGTGCCCGATCTACTGAACTGTGTGCAGTCACAGCCACGCACTTCCTCTCAGTCATGCAGTTACAGTGCCCACCAAAATGAATCCTTAGTCTCTGCTGGAATTCTGCTGCTATTAATACTTCAATTCCCCTAACAGAGTTTATTTTAAAAAAATTACATATGACGCAATGGCTCTGATTTTGTAAGTCCTCAAAGAACAAGCTTTGCTTTTGATAATCTCTATTTCAAGAAATGCTATAATTTCTTTTTAAACAGGATTTATTTTTTCCACATATTCTGTTACTGGTTTGGAATCTCAAAATGTATTTTAGCTCCTTGGGGAAAAGTTCTGGCTATCCATCTCTTAACTACTAATCTGTTTTTTCTGTTAAGACAGTTGAATCTCTCCTCCCTCAAACTTGTCAACTATACTGATGAGTCATTAATTGATTTTTTTTTTCCTCTTTTTTTTTTTTTGGAAACAACCACAGTAGGCTAAAATCAAGCGAGGAGCCTACTGAAGAATTCAATTAACTTCTGGCTTGTTTGGTAATAAATAGTGCAGTATTGTATTCTGCCACTCTTTATTCTTGTTCTAGGGTATGGAGATTGCCCAGATGTTTTGTCCTCCGTTTGCCTGGGGGCTGTGCAGTGCGCCTCTGCTCTCCTGACTCCAGTTAATCTACTGGCTGTCAGAGCTGTCACATGAATGGTGAATCATGGGCTCCCGCTGCAATCCTCGCAGCCCCTGGGGAAGTGCTCCGAGCAGACAGCTGCACAAACCCCCACCCAAGCAAAGTTTCTCCTGGACGAGGATTTTACAAATCAACTTTGAAATAATCGCAAAGCCTGACTGACAGGCCCCTGGTTTTTAAATAACCGAAATTTGTCAAAAACAAATTGGTTGTCTTTCAAACAGACACCCTGAGTCTTTTTTTTTTTTTCCCCTTCTCTTTCCTTTGCTGACTTTCCTGTTTCCAAACAACAGCTGGATCCATTTTCTTCTAAACAAACTTGAATTACAAAGGAATGTTGTTCTGCTATACTTAATAGATTTGCACATTTTTCCCTTTCTTCTTTAGTCTTTCCCAGTATAACATATAATCCTTTGCACCTGCAAAAGCTCCGCAGACTGCTGACTGCCAAGAATCCACCACGTGACCCTGCTTCCATGACCAGAGATCCTGTGTTTAAAGAGAAAGGAAAATAAAAAGTTATTAAATGTTTGAATCTATCTGATCCCCATGCGAGTTAACTCTGAGGATGGGAACTTAAGTGAAAAGCTATTTTTGTGGCATTTTTCAGTGATGTAATAAGTGATTTTTCCCAAGGAACTTGTGTACTTGAACAAGCAGATGGAGTGAGAAAGATGCCTGGAACTGAGAAGGGCTCGAAGCAAATTGCTTTCAGGGATTTCATATGTATGTATTTAAGCCTGCGGCCATGCAACTTTGCAAATATTTTGTGAATTTATTTTCTTTTTGGCAGATAAAACAGAGCAAAGCAAAACACTGAGCAGGGGGGCGGAATGCAAGAACCAATATCAGTTCAGCCCAGATATACCATTTAAAATGAACGGTCCCCAGCACAGAGAGACAGAAGTCCTGTTTGGCCCCCGACGTTTCTGAAACCAACCCTTCCCCTCACACTCCCGAAAAAACCCCATCGTTAAGAAATTACTCTTATCGCTCCCATTACATCCCAAAGCAGGTGTGTCTCTGTTTTTCACTTGGCGTCATTAGGGACCACACACCCTTCTCCTCTCCACTGCTCCCACACACCATGCTCCGCTCCATTTAAACACACACGTCTGAAAACACCACCAAGAACAGCGCTTTCTCAAAAACACGTATCGAGAACCACACCAAACAATTCGATAAGTCAGATCGGTATCAGCAGCAAAGGCCGAGGTGTGCTGGGATGGTATTTTTTATGCTGGATACGGTCACCTTGCTCTCTCCTCCTCCACCATGCTCCATCACCCCTTTCCCATCTCCTGAAAGGCTTAACAATGGAAGTTCTCTGGAGGACAGGCTTCTGGTTTATGATGTGAGGACCATCGCTGAGCAAAAACGGATGGGATCCATGACCCTTCTGAGGCCTACCATGGAGAAATTGGTAATTTTGTTTTATAGCTGTGGCGCTATCTCATTCTTTTTAAAGCCATATTACTTCCATACTATAAAATTTTCTTAAAAGTAATCCAATAGTTGCACGAGGCTGATATTGCTCGCGGGCTGCTGGTCCACAGTACAGCCACTTTCCACTGGGGCACGAGAACCCGCTTCCCTCCTTTGCTGACTCTTCGTTTAACACACTGTCCTTGTGACTCGCTTCTTCCAACTTGGCTGGTGGTTATATTCCAGTTGAATGTTTTAAAAATCAAACTGTTCGAGCAACAATGGCCAGCCACAATGTTCTTTGGTATCCTGCCATAGCTGAATAGCTGACGCTCTGCTGTACGAAAGCACTAAAGGGATTTCTGTCTCTTTAATGCTAGCCATTCTTTTCCTGGTGTTTTCAGTATGGGCTTCTATTCTGCTGTCACCCACAGCAGAAACTGATTTTCATATTATAAATAAATAAATAGGGATTCATAATTCTTCAAACCCATTTGATGCTTTTCTGGAGAAACTTGGACACGCAGTTTTCTTGCCAGTCGGTTCTGCTGGATGAAGGACACACACCCCTTAAGACAAAGGGTGCTACGCTCCAAAGCATCTAGGTATCATCAAAGCCTAAATCCCACCTTCAAAACCTATTTTCAAAACACTTCAGGTGCTTAAGAAATCCCAAATTGAAAGTCAGGGTTTAGAAATCCAGCTGCTGGAGTCACTTGATAAAAACAGAATGACTGTATTTTTTTAATTAAATGTTCTCCAAATGTGTATAAATCTACAGCTAAACCCCAGAACTCAGAGCAGTAACTTCTATCATGCAAAAAGCACTATGGAATATCTGCCCAAGGACTCCAAGGAAAACCAGCACATTAATACAGATGTTCATGGCTTTGCCAGAAGCCCAGCCAAATCTCAGTCATGCTGGGGTTTTAGGATAACGGCATTGTCCAAAGAAGTAGGAAAAGGTCATTTTATTTGTTGGCATGTAGCTCTGAAATCTAGTTTCTGATAAAGCTTGGCTTCCCAGCACAGTTCTGCACAAAGAGCCTTTGCCAAGCAAGGCAAACAGGAATGAATTCCCATCCGTTATGCCTGCAAATTGACAACAGGTATTTGCAACAGTCATGCAATACGGAAAATTGTTTAGAAGGGTGGAGCCAGAACAGTTCAATCGAATTAAGGAAAAGGAGAATTGAGGCTGGAGAACAGGAAGAAAATTCCCCAACAGTGAGGTCTACCAAACAGCGGAGCCAGTCTCCCCAGGGAGGAGAGGAAAGCCCTCTCCTTTGAGTCATTTAAAAATAGACTGGGGAAGGCACTCAAGACTGTACTGTGGGGAATAACTGCATTGGCAAGGGCAGGATGAGATGACTTCACACATTTCTTTCCATCTCTGATTTCGGTGATTCACCCAGAGCTCCAAACCTGAACATGCAGAAGAGCAAGAGAGAAGCAAGGCATGAGGACATCATCCTGGAGGAAGCCGAGAGGAGCAAGTGTCACAGGGCCAAGAGGACTGGCAGGACTCTCGTCCAAATTCCTTCTAACCACACTCACACTGAGGGCCAAGCTGATGTGCTGAAGGTCACATGTGTTTTCTCTCATAGCCCACGGACGCACTAATTGACAGGGCTTTGCAGTAAGTTGGGCTTGTAAGCTCTTCAAAAACACTCGCCTTTGTGCTGCACTAAGCATGGTTTTAATGCTACCTATAGAGGGAAAAGCACAGAAGCTATCAGAGGCTTGTAGATATCGATAACAACATCATCACTGCAAAACCAGGGCCACATTCTTTATACATATATCCTCAAAACATTGACTTGGGACAGAATCACTGGTCATTTGCAGTGATACAGTGTCTAGATCACGCTCCACCATCCCAAATGCTGCACAAATTCAGAATAGCCTTCCCTCAGTCACTTCCACTCAGGGGGATAAAGAAGAGAGCTCAGGTGCTGCAGAAGATGGATGTCAGAGGCAGGCTCAGAGCCCGTGGGTCACTGCTCCCTGCTTGGAGCCTGCAAACAGGCAGAAGCGCCTGCAGAAGCCCTGCAATTATGCTGCTTTTCCTACACATGCTCTTTCAATATAAACCAGGAATTAGGAGCAACACAACGACAACAATTGGATCGGCCTGGTTTCCCCACCAACCACCACCAAATGGCTCCTACCTGCTCACACTGTGCTCCTCCTGCAGAAGGCAGCAGGAGATAACGAGACTTTTTCAGGGCAATACCCATTCCCACTAGCATTCAAAGCCTAGGAAAGCAAAATGACAAGGAGCACATGACATGAAAGCGGCCGCCATGCCAAGCCTGTGTCATGTGTATTCTATTAAGCTGACGGCTGAATAGAAGACTTTGTTTTCCACTTCAAAGGACCCCATCCCAATCTCTCGCTCTTCCCTTATGAATAACAAATTGGAAATAAATCTTCTGGCTGAAGTGCATGGAAACTCATACAATTGGGGCCCTCTGCAGCTTCCCAGCTCAATCACATGCTAATTTTTTTTGTAAACACTTTTATGTGATATATATGTAAATCTTGCTGTGCGTTGCTGCACCATATAAAGCAATACAACGGGTGTATCCTCAAGGGATGGGACACAGTGGGAAGCCTGAATGCAGATTTTCAATTATTCACAAGGATAATGTTCGTAGAGAGGGGTCAAGTTTTATATGCGGGCAGAGCTCTACTTTTCTTCCTAACAATCCCATTTCATATTGTCCCATAGGCCAGTGTCCTCTACTTCTCACCACAAACGTTATTGAGCTCTTTTTATACTGGGATTATAAAGACACCTCATTTTGCTGGGCAGAAGGTTTATTGGAAAAGTCACTCTTAGGATATACCAAAGGCCTTTCAATCTAAAAAAACCCAACCAAACAAAAAAGAAAATATTACCACCGCCTTTAAATATAAGGGGGAAGTATATGGTGCCCACAAACGTGGGCTTATCATGTGCTGAGCACACCTGGCCCCCAGATGGCCAACAACCTTTGACTAGTTCACACAACTCCTTACCTGTGCAGGCATGTCACCTTTGCCATATGCTTGTGGTAAAAGCTTGGGGCAGAGATCATCTGTCAGCTTTGTGCTCCCAACACAGTTGGGTCTTGGTCTATATTCAGGACGCTTAAGCTATGGTGATCCTGGGAAAGTGCAACACTCGCATCTCTCTCAAACCTGATGACCAGACCAACACCCCAAAACATTGCAGGAAGCATAGGAGAGAATGAGACATCTCTGCCTTGGCCTTGCTATTCTTCAGGTACCAAAAGGCAGGCAGACATCATGGCATACACTAAACTGGAGGCCTGCAGCTGAGTAAATATTACAATTCACTGCAACGATAAGCATCTGTAGTGTTTCTACACACCCCTCTGTTCAAGGCAGCGTTCAGCTTCATGATAACACAGGGGAGAAAAATCTCTCTGAATCAATCAACGTGGATTCGTGTGCATGTGCAGTCCTGCAGACTGAGGAAAGAAAAGCAATTTTCATGCTTGCCTTTGCTACTGGGTATTTTACTTGCAACATGGCATTCTGCATGGCTGATCCTTACAGATGCATGGCACATTAGCTACAGGAGAAGCAAGAAATTCATAAGCTGATTGCAATTTCTATACATAAAGTCAAAAAGTATAGAGCCAAATGTCCTCCCCAGTGAATTTTTATGTGCATGTGTGCAGCATATGTGCAGTATATGTATATATTATCTTGCAGGAAACATGCAAACCCAAACATAGGAAAAATTCAATGATCTAAGATAACTGTTGACATAAATGTTGAGACTCCATTCGCACTAATGGAATTGTGCTGCTCACTTATGCCAGTACCAAACTTGGCCCTAGAATTAAACTCACCCAAATCCTAGATAAATTCAGAGAAAGAGAACAAAAGTTAGCTACATGCAACAGCATATTTTTCATGTTAAAAGCATTTCATTCTCTTTTTCTCTCCATATAATACTGCATTGATGTCTGTGACCCATTTGGATGTAAATCAAAATGGATGTGCTAAAAGCCTGGTTAAAGAAAATGTCTTCGAAACAGCGTTCCCAT